GGCGACGATCGATAATTCGATGGAAATGACGGCGGCAGCAGCGAGTCGACGACAACCCGGGCGCGGCGGCGGCGGCCGGGAGGCCTTCATCACACAGCTGGCCAAAGAGAGCGCTGCGGGGGGAAGGCGTGACGTAGCGCGCGAGGCCAGGTGATGGACCAGGTACGCGCTAGGCACTTAATTTCACCTCGTCGAGGACGCTCGATGATTGATTCTTTGTTGAAAGGTATGCCTGCGTATTCTTAACCAGAACGCTTCGCACGTGGGAATTCCCAGCGATGGGGGTCGTATTTGATCGCTGGAGGTGAGGGTTAGGGTCGTATTTGCTTCCAAGGGAAAAGTCTTCGGTTGCTGATTTTTTTTGCTTTTCCTGTTTCAAGTGCGCAATGTATCTTCCACTAAACAGTTTTGGGGTGGAGTGGGGGCAGTGCACATCATGGTTGGGGGTTCCTCAACAGGGAGGGGGGGTGTGTTTAGTCTGGGAGAAACTTCTTTGATAGTTGATTTTTCCTGTTCCAGGGACGCTATAAAGGGGGGGGGGGACGTGTTTGCTCATTGTTGGGAGGGGAGGGGTCGTATTTGTCTTCTGGCCTTCTGAGGGAGGTTGTTGTCCTCTCTGGTTTTCCCTGATTCAAGTACGTCATATATCCTCCCTTACTCCCCCCCCCACACCACCGGCTCGTCTCCGGAACTAGGGAAGGGGTCCTATCAAGTCACATTTAAGGGGGCGCTGGTACGCTTTCGACCAAAATCCCCAACAAATGGTGTACTCCGAGTTGGGGAGTGCAATTTTTATGGAGAAGTGGGAAGAAATTGGAAAAGTTTGAGTAGATGTTGGGTATTGCGGGTAAGGAGGGAGGGGCGGGGGAGAACGCGCCAGCGGAGTCAGTTTGGCTCGTATTCGCCCTCGAGAAAAAGGTTTTTGGTTGCTGACTTTCCAGGTTTTTCCCCTTCACGTGCGCTATGTAACCCTCTCTCCTACCCTACCCTCCTCCCGGCAGCCACTTAGGAACTTGAGAACTCAGAGAAAGGTGAGGTAAGGAAAATTAGAGAAAAAGGTGGTAAGATGATGGAGGATTAACGAAGGAGGGGGGTCGCGGCGGGGGGGGTCGTATTAAAGGGAGGCCAGAGGGGGAACCGAACGCCAATGATGTTCCTTGGTAGAAGGGAAGCCCTACCTTATCAAATAGTCTGATTGACGAGTACTTCCGCCTCCCCCCCCCCCCAATGCCGGCGGACAGAGAGCGGAGGGCACGCACTTCTTCGCACGTCGCGAGGACTGGGATCCTCGGGGAGCAGTCATCTTTGGTCG